GAGTCGGAATAAGATTCTTAACCGAGAGGGGGGCCGGGCTTAAATGACACACGTTAAGTTCTCCTGTCTTGGAGGCTGGAGCTCCAAGAGGAGGTGGGGGCATGGCGAGGGCTCTTCCCCTGGCTCGCACACACGGTGGGGGGCGGGCGGGGACCCAGATCTCCTGTCTTTTCTTAGGCGGCACCAAGCCATCGCCTGGGCCTCACTCTCTGCCTGCCGCTCTGCGTACTCGTGGTCTCTCCCTCTCTGCCAAATGAATAAAATCTTTTAAAAAAAAGAGAGAGAGAGAGAGCGCGCACAAGCAGGGGGAGCCAGGGAGGGGAAGCAGGCTCCCCACCGCGCAGGGAGCCCAATGTGGGGCTCGATCCCAGGACCCTGAAATCATGACCTGAGCTGAAGGCAGACACCAAACCGACTGAGCCACCCGGGCGCCCCCCATGGCTTTAATTCTTATGTTTAGGTTTCTGACCCATTTTGAATTACTTTTTTGTTTATGGTGTGAGGTAAGAGTCCAACCTCCTTCCTGTGAATGTAGATAAGCAGCAGTCCTACCACGTTTGTTGGAGAGACCGTTACTTCCCAGCTGACCAGGGGGGTACGGCTCTTTCTGGACCCTCAGTTCTGTCCCGCTGGCGCCCGTGTCTGCCCTTATGCCAGGCCCACACCAGGTTCATTGCCGTGATTGCAGTAGGTCTGGAGATCAGGAACCGCGAGTCGTCCTGCTTTGTTGAGAATTTCTCGGCTATTTGGGGCCTTTAAAATGCCACATGAACCTCAGGATCAGCTTCTCTCTTTCTGCAGAAAGGCCCTTCGGACGTGGTAGGGATTATGTGGGATCTGCAGACTACCACGGTGGGGGCAGGTACTGCCGTCTTAGCAAAGGGACATACTCCAGTCCGTGCACACGGCCGGCTTTCCGTTTGTTTGGGTCTTCTTCAATTCCTTTCAGCAATGTTTTGTAATTTTCAGTGCACAAATCCTGCACTTTCTTGATTAAAAGTACTCCCAACCATGGTAGGCCTTCGGCTGTGGGGAGCGAGTCTTCTGGTCCATGAACATGGGATGCCTCTCTTTTTAGGCCTCCCTTACTTCTTCCCGCGACGTTTCGTCACAATCAGTGTGTGAGTTTTATAGTCTCAACTTTTTACACTCCTTGTGAGCGCTACACCTTGTAAAAGGGGCCTCGTGGGTAAAAGGGCTTCCTAGGGATCCCTCTCCTGTCCTCCTGGGCACTCACCCGCGTTCCACCTTCTGTTACGGACCGTCTTGCTTCTATCACGAACGGTTACCGAGCACTCGCTACGTGCGTGCTGGGCACTCACTGTTCAGGAACTTTCCCTAAATTAGCAACGGATTCTTATCATCACAGCCCTCACACCACTTCATCTTCACCAGACTGAGGAGAAAAATGAGAAAAACGGAGAGGTCCGGGGACTTGCCCAGCGTCTGCAGGTAGTGGCGAGCAGAGCGAGCAGAGCCGGGATTTGGACCCAGAATTCAGGCTCCTGGTCTCTGCTCCTTCACCCCTGAGGCAAGGGCAGTCCGCCCGGCCCTGGGATTTGTCAGCCTGAACCAGGTAAAGTTGTTGTTTGATCTTACTTGACCTACAAACAATGGCTATTTCATGTGATTCGACTTGTTTAAAAAAAAAGGCTTGGGATTTGCAGCAGGTGCCCGAGTCTATCTGCCCTCCCGGTGCGGATGGAGATGTTCGTGCCCATGTGCTCCCCCCAAGGAGGCTCCAGCCGTGAGTGGGCCAAGTTCGTGCCCCGTGTCTTCTGAGGAGAAGAACGCTGCCAGCCCCGAGATGGGGTCCCACGTTGGGGCGAGAGCTCTTGTGCCCGCTCTAACAGGAAGCCCCAAGGGGTCCCCAAGGGCCACACTGCGCACGTCTAGGAGTCATCCGGCCTGTCAGGAGCCCCCGCCGGGACGGGCACGGGGCTGACGGATCCCGGGCTGGGGACCTCTCCTGAGGGCTATGTGCACTTGGCCTGGCTCTGTTTTTGGGCCTGTCCTGCTGCTCCCAGAGCATGGGAAGGCAGCCACCTGGTGGGCAAGCTTCCATCACCTGAGATGTGGTGGAGCGGGAGGCCTTGAACCTGGAAGAGGGAAGGCGACCCAGCCGCGGGCGTGGGAGGAGCGCTGTCCGACCACAGCCTTGACCTCACCCCATCTCCTGCGCGGCTGCTGCGGGGACTCCCGGGTCTGGGCGTCATGGGAGACGGGCTGGGGGGAGGCAAGGCCCCGCTGCAGATGCTCCGTGGTCTTGCTTGTTCAACACCTTGTCGGGACGGAGCCTCGCTCTGTGGAGCCAGGAGCCCCGAGGGGCAGCGGCTGATGGACAGCAGCCTGAATGGGGGGTTGGGCCCCTTCCCTAGCCCACTCTGGGCCCCGCCGGCCTCTCCCCAGCAGGCTGGGAGGGGCCCTGAGCGACACCGAGGGTACTGCATTTCCACGGGGACGAGCGGTACTGCTCTGCTCCTTGCTGGTTGCGGGGAGACCTGCGGGGAGACCTGCGGGGAGACCTGCAGATCGCAAGGCAGGTTATGTCCAAAACACACAGGGGCCGTGCAGAAGCCTCGCACGAGCAAGCCAGGTTATGCATAAACACTACGCTTCGGTAGAAACTGAAACACCGGGAAAACGGCCACGTTTCACGAAGCTTACGGGGCCGCTGTCCCCTCCAGGAGGAGAGCTCGGTGGCGGGGAGGGCCCATCTGGGGCTGGCGGCCCCGCCGTTCCCTCAGCTCTTCCTACTTGTCTCCTGTGCTGAATGCACCAGGCGGCCCCCAAACACCATCAGTGTGGGCTTTACCCCGCGGCTCCAGGGCCCCGCGTCTGCCAGGCGCCCTGCGCTGTCCCTTTGCAAGGGCTGCGGGATGCCGTCTGCCAACGGTTTATTTTAGGGCTTCGTGTCCGTATTCAGAACCGAGACTCCCTTGCTGTGGGTGTGTCTGTCCCGTTTTTGTGAGGCTTTGTTTGTTTTCATCCTCATTTCATAGAGCCTGGAAGCTGTTCTTTTTTTTTTTTTTTTTTTTAAAGATTTTATTTATTTGTTTGGCAGACAGAGATCACAAGTAGGCAGAGAGGCAGGCAGAGAGAGAGGGGGAAGCAGGCTCCCTGCTGAGCAGAGAGCCCGATGTGGGGCTCGATCCCAGGACCCTGGGATCATGTCCTGAGCCGAAGGCAGAGGCTTAACCCACTGAGCCCCCCAGGCGCCCCTGGAAGCTGTTCATTCTTACCAGAAAAGTAAGTTGCACCGAACTGGGTCAATGGGGCATGAGACACCGGGTGTCTTGGGGGAAGAGGAGTCCCTCCCAGGTCCCGGCTGCAGGAGGCAACATGAGGCCCCGAGAAGCGGCCGCCTGGCTCCGGGCCTGGCGTGCAAACCCACGCGGGGCGGGAGAGGCAGGCGGAGCGATGCTACAGCCCACCGGCCTTTCCTGCCGTTGCTGCGGTGCTCGCCAGCCGCGTGGTCCGGCTGCTGCCCCAGCACGGCGTGGTCGCCAACCAAAGCGGTTTCCTCGAGCCTCGGAAGGCTGCGTGCATCGCCCGGGATGGCGCCCGATCCTACCAGGTCCCTTCCTGCGGCTGTGCGCGGGCTGCTTCCGAATCCCTGTGCCTGGCCAAGACCGGGACTGCACCCCTTGACCCCGTCTGTTTCCCACTTTCCAGCCCTTGGAGTCTCCGCCACGCGGCCCTGCGCGGACCGGGCTCTCCTCCCGAATTGCTCGTCTGAACGGAGCACTTCTCGGAGCAAGTCCCCTGGGTGCCGCCTCCGTGCGGGCACCCGCTCCTCGAGGGTCGAGCCCTCGCGCGTCTCGGCGCGGAACGCCAGCTGAAGGTTCCGAGGGCCAACGAGGCGTTCGTCCCCATTCGCGCCCCTTGCTGGCACGCACGTCCAGACGGGGCTGGCCAGGCCTGCGGCTGCCAACCCTGCCCCAGGGAAATGTGGGACATGAGGTCCTGTGGCAGTCGCGCAGGGCAGGGCCTCTTCTCAGACTGTGGGGCCAAGTCTGCAGGGCACAGGCGCGAACGTAAAGCAGCTGGGGCCTCCCGGCAGCCTCCACGTTAAGTGTCTGCCTTCGGCTCCGGTCATGATCCCGGGGTCCTGGGATCCCTGCGGCGGGGAGCCTGCTTCTCCCTCTGCCCACCCCCTGCTCGTGCTCTCGACAAATTAAAAACCAAAATGTTTCCTTCTATAAAGACGGACATTCATGAAAAAACAAAAAACCAAAAAAACCCAATCCTGGTGGAGTGTGCAAAATTTGCTCCCCACCCCACTTCCCATGCACCGTCACGAGGGCCACACAGCGCAGCTGACCGCAGGCTCCCTGAGCAGGCTGGCAGCCCCCAGGGCCGAGCAGCAGGCCGGGACGGGCAGGGTCCCCAGGGCCGGGGTCGGCCAGGCCTGCACGTGGGCACCTGGGGTGGTCCCTAGAGCCATGCCGTGGTGCGCCACGGACGTGACCTCCTCTGAGGAAGCGCCCCTGGCTGCGACGTGCGAGAGCCCAGACCCAGCGACGGCAGTCAAGGTCACACCGCAGCGCACGACCGCCGTTCTCACGGCAAGGATGGTTCCGGGACGGTCACGTGGCTGCAGCCCGCCCCTGTGCAGGGCCGGGGCCGGGGCTCTGATGCCGCTCCGGGCAGTGCCCCCACTTCCTGGCTGCGTGGAGGCCCGGGTGAGAGGGGCCACGGCGTCCCGCCGGACAGCCCTCCGGTGAGCGCGCGCGGCCCCCGCCCCCACGCTGGGATCCCTGCGGGCCTCAGAGGAGAAAGGCCGACGGCCGGTTACCGTGGAGGTGGTAACGGGCAACAGGCCTGACCACGCCCCAGGGGAACCGTCCCTTATCGGGGGCGGGGGTCTTCCAAGCTTGGAACCACGGCGCCGTGCACAGTAGCTCAGGATGGGGACCAGGCTCCGGTGGCAGCGCTGACCGTGTGCGAGGCGGCCGGGAGAGGCAGAGACTTTCCGCGAGCAGTAAGTGACACCGAGGCACTGTATCACTACAAATTTTATTCAGAAACCCATCTTTGTTTGTTTTTGTTGTTTTTTAAAAAAAATCCCCGTTACGAACTGGTCTGGTCAATCAACTACAGCACTGTCCGGCAGACAGACGGTACAAACGGCTCAGAATCGCCCAGATCTCTCGCGGTCTCTCGACCGCCTCCTGTCACGCTCCCGTCCCCCGCCGCCGCCGCCGCCACCGCCGCCGCCGCCGCGACCACGGTCTCTAGACCGAGAGCGACGCTCCCGAGACCGGGACCTCGATCTATGCCTGCAACCAAGGAAAAGAAACGGGACTGTGGCAGCCATAGCAAAGCCCGCGCGGATCCCCACAGCGACGAAGGCTTCTGGATGCGCCTCCCGCCGAGGGGACGCGTGAACAAAGGGCAGCCGCGCAGCCACGGCCCGTGTCGGGGAAAAAGAGGGGCCCAGCAGGATCGGGGGTCACGTCACCCCCCATGGTATGTGCTTCCGGGGCGCCGGCGCCAAAGCTCGGGGACTGAACTGCCACCGTGCCCGGGACACACACACGCACACACGCGCGCACACACGCTCCCCCGCCGGGTTCTGGGGCGTGGAGGGCAGGGCTCCCCTCCTGTGCTTTGCTGAGAACGGGACAATCACTGGCTGTGCGCGTGTCTCCCGGTGCGCGTGTGAGCAGAGACCGGCGAGAACCCCAGGGCCAGAGCACGAGCTGCGCAGGACAAGGGACCCTCCCCGGACACCCCAGCTCAGTCTCTGTTCTGTGCTCCCGGGGGGGGGGGGCGCTTCGATCCCAGGCCCAGACACACAGACTGCCCGCTTGTGCCCGTGTCCCCCCAAAGCAAACCGACACAAACCAGGAGCCCCCAAAGGAGCGCCCAGCTCTGCCGAGGGACTGAAGCCCACTCCTGTCACACAGGCACCAAGGGCTCTCCGCAGAGCACGTCCTGCTGTCCCCGGGGGCACTCGCACGCTGGGCGCGGGGACAGGGCGGCAGGCCACGGCGGACACTCACTTCTTACGCCGGCGCCCGTACAGCTCCCGCCGCAGCTCCCTGGAAATGGGCTTCAGGTGCATGAAGTTGCAGAAGCCGCCGCGCGTGCACTCCCTGCGGGAAGCAGAGCCCACATGCCGCACCCGCAGCCGCAGCCGCCCCCGCCCCCGCCCCGCGGGCCGCGCCCCGTCACCTACCCCATCTCGTACTGGCGGCAGCACGCCTCTCGGAAGTCGGTCACCGGGGAGAGCTCCGCGTGGATCGGCTGCCCGTTAAACCAGCGGTTGTTCAGGTCGATCACGGCCTTTTCCGCGTCCTCCTCACGGCGAAACTGCGGAGACGAGGCAGAGCTGCCCGCGGCCACGCCTTCCCAGCCGCCCCCCCCAGCCCTGGCACGAACGTGCACCGCGTGCCCACAGGGGTAAAGTGAGGCGGAGGGAGGCCGGAGCAGGTTAAAAGCAGCGCACCCTCTACTTGCCATCCCATCACTTAACTCTGCGGCGGCGCGAGGTCACGCCAGCTGCCCACGGCCTTGGCTTCCCGCTTCAGTGTGTTAAAAGAGCAAATGCAAGGACGTGCGCAGGCCGCGGGTTTTAAAAAACGGGGAAAAGAAACCACACACATTCACCAGCTTCTCCTGTGTCTACACAGCCCGTCAGGAACGGCTATGGAGACCCGGACGGAAGAGCCCCCGGCGACCGCGGAGGCCCGTGCGCCCCTCCCGGGCCCACAGGCGGCCGCCACACCTGGGTTCCGGCCAGCCAACACCTGAGCGCCTTGGAATCGACCAGCAGGGAGCGGCCCCAACTTCCAAGTGCAAAGCTGAAACCCAAGGGCAAGTGGTCTTCACCCCCCAGTCTGCATGGGTCAGGAGCCCCAAGCCCCCGGACGTGCCACACTGTTCTCACCTTGACGTACACGTTCCCGACCAGGTGGTCTCCCAGGTTGTCGCAGACGTTCATCTCCTCCACTTCCCCGTACTTCTCCTCCATCTCTGTAAAAACCTCCTGCGGGCGGGACAGGGCTTTAAGGCTCACGGTACACTCGAGATGAAGGAGGAACCGAACGTCACGCCCACTTCTCTCGTAAGGAGAAAACGTACGCCCCCCCGGGACACAGGGCGAACGGGCCGGTCACTTTCAAACGGTGCGCCTCACCTCGAAAAACTCGTCGTAGTGCTCCTGCATCTCCACGTCGCTCACGGCGCCTGCGAACACAGAAACCTTGCTGGTTAGACGGGAGCCCGCCCGCCGCCACGCTGCGTTTAACTCATCCTGCTACAGTCACACACATTCGATTATCTAGAGAGGAAACAACGGAGCTGCGTTCTACCGAGAACTGACGGTCCCGCGCGACACCCGGAACCTGCGCGTGCGGGGAGCTTTTTAGACGCCCCTCCTGACAGTCTCACTGCTGGCCGTTCAATCACAGCAAGTTTTAATCCGCATCAAAGGGCCATGTTTTCAGAAAGCGTAAGGGTCAAGTTTACCCTCGAGAACTTATTTTTTTAAATGACAATTCTCTTCTTTTTACAATTTAAGATAGAGGCCAAGGAATCACATGGATGTTTTTTCCCCTTTCTTAGGCTAAAATAAAAGTTGCAATCAGGGTAAGTGATTAAGAGCTGATGTTCCTGACTGATTTCTTTTACAGATGAACAGCCACACGATGCTATTATAAAATTCTTTCTGATGCGATTAAAACCCAAATGACCATAAATAAAGACTCAGGTGGATAATGACCAAGTTCAGTTACCTCTGCATGCCTCTGCATAAAGGGAAAGTTACAATGCTTTGTTGAAGGAAGCATTATCTCATACTCCAGAACTATTTCCATCAAGTTTATTCTCCGTAATGCGCATGCACTAAGTGAAATCCTTTCCGCTGTGTGGACACTTTTCCAAATTTACATTCTGTCCTTGTTATCATTCTCTCTACCAAGTGTTACCGCTAAAATTCTAGAATTCTCTTGACCTAAATGTGAGAAATCACAAAACTGGCAGGTTGATAAACCAGTGTTCCACACAGCCAGCTCCGGGAGCCTGCGAAGGCTGAGTGGCTTCGAGGCTGGGCCAGCTCAATGTTCAACTGTCCCCTTCCATGACCACACCCCTGGCCTCACCTGGTGCACCCCACTGAGGGAGCAGAGCTGCGGCGCTTGGACCTAGCCACTGAGCCGCCCTGGAGTGGTTTCCTAGCTCTCTGGAAAAACCTTCTCTTCAAGGACAAGAGCTTTTAACTTTTGGATTCTGAGAATGGTCTAGATTTACTTTCTAATGCATGGGAGGGGGGATTCCTGCATTGTAGTTATGTTTGACTTTCCAGGAATCCAGCTTCCTTTAGAATGAAAACCTCTCGGTTGTGCTAGCCAACAACTCCTCCTCCTGACGGCCCGGTCCCATGGACGTGCTATCGTGAACAGAACCTCCTTCCCTGTAGCCATCTAGCCCTGAGCAAACGGAACAGATGGTCGGGAGAAGAGGCACATTTTAATGTTTACATTTCCTGCTCACACCAGAACAAAATGAGGAGAAAAGGCATTTACATGTTCAAAGTGCTAGCTGTGTTGAGAATCAGGCTCTGGTGGTTTGGACACTGCTGTACTCGTGATTACTTCTATTCTCTCGCTGGAGAACGGTATTCCTGCATCTCAGTAACTTCTGGAAAGTTCCATTTGAAAATGCTCCACAGTGGGCATATTTTATCCTCTATACTCAGCTTAAAGATTTTCAGTCAAGTGACGCGGGCAGGACAGAGGTGAGCGATTAAGAACCCGGTCCACTGCAAAGCCACCTATGTGACTCAGCAGATGCTACAGACCGGCACCTGAAAACCCTGTTTCTCGCAGACACATCCTTAAACTGGGGTTCGTACCTCATAGCTGGAAGGGTGTGTCAAAAGGTGTAAATTCGGGGACTGGATGAACCTGGCCAGTTGAAAATTTACTCAAAAGATCTGCCACAGGTTCACAGCTTAAGCAGATTTTCTTCCTAAACCGAAGAGTCAGAATTTCGTTTAATCTGTGGAATCGGGACCCCGCAATCGGAGTATTTGGTACTAAACTTTACTCTGTAGCACACGCACAACAAGAGCACTGTGAACCGCAGGGAGAGACACGAGGAAAACTAATCCAACACTGTTCTGTCAATGAAGCATCCGTAGTCCCCAGGTAAACCATCAGGGCAAAGAATGATTAACTGATGTTACTCAATCATCAACCTCTCGTTGGTTTTGTCCCAGGGCAGGGCTGTTACGAAAATTATTTAATAAGTTCACATATAAGCGTTTCCCTTCAACTACTGATCTTGTTTCTTTAAAAAACAAAACAAAACAAAATAAAACAAAGCAAAACCAAGTATTTTAAAACAAGGGCTACCAAGTAAATCCTGTCACCATCAAACTTGGGGACACAAATGATCCGCTTCCCGGTCAGAATGGGTCAGGATCAGCATGGAGAGAGACAGTGTCTGGGCAGGAAAACCTTACCAGCCCCTCCCCCACAGACCCGTGCACTCACAGGTGTACCACTGGGAGGTCCCCCCGGTCTGGGGCCAGCCCGAGCGGGCAGTGCTGCCGGGACCACGACGCTGAGCCGTGTAGATCGCCCTAGAAGCTGAGGGCTGCGGGCCAAGGGCGCGTCGGACTCAGGTCTGTGGCTACCCAGGGCCTCCGCGGACAGCGCCTCGCATGAATTTTCGCAGCTTCAGAACAAACTGGCGAGCGAGAAGCCGCCTGGTTCGGACCCCGTGATCTTAACACGAGTCCGGGGACTCGCTTCTGCTTATCCAGACGAGCAGGCTGATTCCACGGCTCAAGAGCCATAAAATTTAAAATTTCAACTTTCTGAAATCTCCAGTGATACGAACACAGATCCTTTTCTCAAAGAACTACCCCTTGGGAAACACAACGTTCGTAACTTAAATTTACTGCTTCCCAAAGCAGGAAGAAGGGGGCCGTGTCTACTAAGTGCCCCACGCAGCCCTGCTTCTGGGGTCCATGTGCCTCCTCTCGCCCACGCGGGGGGGGAAGCGAACCCCCGCGGTTGCACACGGCCGCCCAAAGGGCTCTGATTACAGACCGAGCTGGCCCAGGGCTGGCGTGGAGGAAAACTCGGGGGGGTCCGTGCCACTCGGAGGACCCTCATCTGGGAAACGCTCTCAGAACGATGCTCTCGCACTTAAAGCGTGAGCGCTAGAATGGACTTTTAAGAACAAGTCTAATGAGAAATAAAACCTCAAAAATAATTCCCAAAGCACTTGTTTCTTAACCGGAAACTTAAATGCTGTCGCTCTTTAGAGGGGAAGAACGTAACTGCACACTTAATTCCAGGCACAGTCTCCCCGAGGGTGACGGTCCAGGACAAGAGCGGCAGCTCTGAGCTGTGGGACAGGGAGGGCATCCCTTCCGGTCCCTTCTCATCGCTTAAGTAAGTGGGCAGGAGCTGCGATCTCAGAGGCTTCCGAGGGGTCAGTAGACAAAAGCTCTCGGCACGTCTAGCGGAAGGCCGTCCTTGACACTACAGCGGCAGACCAGGCGGAGCGGACACTGAGCTCTGACGCGCAAGCCCAGGGAACCAGGGAAGGAACTTGGATGAACTTACAGCGCAAACCGTCAGCAGACTGGGAAGAGTTTTGAGGGTTACGGTAAATGTTCAAGAGGGCAATGGTCTGAAATACAAAACGCAACAACTTTATATTATGGAAAATTAAATTGAAACACTTCACCGGTTTCCTGTGGCGATCACTTCAGTCAAGACTCAGTGCTGAAAAAAGAGCAAGTTATTTTCTCTCGAAGCAGAGATGTTCTCTCTTAGTGGGTGGCTGTCTCGGAGCGCCCTAACCCTGCACTGTCACGGAGATGCCATGATATGCGGATATTGTATTTCTGTCCATGGGATGCAAGGACTCCCCGCTGCCCAGTTCCCCAGGTAAGGGTACAAGCACTTTGGCAGACTACTACCAAGACGGTCCTCCGTGTTACAGAAAACTTCAGGAGCCGAGGAAGTGCCCGCACCAGCTGACGACAAGAACCACGGGAGCCGAGAAATACAATAATTACATATCATGAGATCTCCACGTCCTAGAGAAAAAATTGTAATGGTGAAATAAAACCCACACTTATTGGGCAACTTACCTTAGTGATTCCTAAATATTCCTAAGAGTTGTGGCTTTACAGAAAGAACCTCGTATTAAGGTCAAGCGTTCAGGCACTGGAAAGACCAGTGATGCTGGCGGCTGTCAAGTGTCGCAGGGACAGACCCCTTCCCTCTCGTTAACAAACGTCAACCCAGGGAAGAGGCCTCCCGGCGCCCTTGCCGACGCAGCCCCCTGGACGTGGCCAAGTACCAGGTTCTTGCTGTAGGTACCAAGGCCTTCCAGCACCTTGTCCTGTTTGCAACAGCTCTGCGTCAGCAGCTCAGAAGCCAACATTGTTTGTCTCAATTAAGAGTGGGCTCTTTAACACCATTGTTTTAAAAAAATTTCTCCAACTGTGGGACTTACAGTGTGAGCCGTCAGCCGTCTGTGCACTGTTTTGGGGATTACGATAGATGTTTTGAATCAAGATGGTCTGCGGGGAAAAAAAAATAAAAAGGGGAATTCTACTGGCTGCTGTGCATGTATTAGACAATTGCAAAGAGACAACTTGTTTGCAAATGGCTCAACGTTCGCTTGCTTCCCACAAGTGAGACGCTCATCCTCCGGGAGCGCACCCAACCGTCATATTATGAAAACAGAGTGTGGGCGGCGACTTAGGTCAAGTCAGCCAGCAACCAAGAAGAAACTGTAGCCATTATTCTCGGTAGTCCCACGTTATTCAGGTGTTTTAGTGCAAAATAAACAATAACACACTGACATTTTCTTATACTTCAAGCTACGATGTCGAAAAATTCACGTGATAATCATATTCCCCACACAAAATTGTATTTTTTAAAACCAAATGCGTCAGTCAACTGTATGCAGTCCATCAAGCTGTCCGGTCTCCCAGGAAACAGGCGCACCAAATGGGTGTCCTGACTGTCACGGACACCTAGACACACTCCTGTTTGCTTGGTGGGACCTCTGTTTACATAATACAACAGCTTAAACATCTGTTCTTTTCCGATCCTTCTTTTAAGGGAAAAAAATCCTTTTAGCCCTTGTGCTTTAAACTGGATCAGGCAGACTTGAAACCTTACATTGTACCGTTCTTCTTAAAACCAAGTCTGAAAAAACAAACCACGTTTAAGTTAGTAGGCTAATACAGTACATGAATCTTAACGTCCACATCACTGAAGAAGCTCAAAAAGAAACCCACACGGAGTTTTACAGGCTGAACGAATGAACCGCGTGATTTAGGGAAATAAAGGTTTGCTCTCAACACAGGTCCAAAGCAGTTCAGTGGTTTTACAGAAGCAGCCGTTCCGTTTCTAGCTGCGTGTAAAGGAAGCCGCTGTGTGGGCACTCCCCAAAGGTCTGCTGTGAGGAAACCCCAGGGGAGGAACATCTAACAGCCAGACCGCACGCACGCACGCACGCACGCAGACCCTTCTCGCCGGGCATGGCCTTGTCCCCTAGCCATCAAGTACTGCCCTGGGGCAACTTCTCTCTGCCTCCGGTATTTCTCAAAGCTGATCTGACTCAGTTTTCAACAGGAACCGCCAGCGTGTATGTGACCACGCTGGGAGAGAGCTGCATGGAGCCAATTGCTCAACAAGAAATCCGTTTAGGTCTCACTCACATCACCTGGCAGTGGCTGTTTAGGAAAAGGATCGTCACTCAAAGGGGGCCACGACGTTCCATTATAATCAGGGGAGGTCAGGATTGCCCGCAACCAGCGGACCGGCCAAGCCAGTCGGAGCGAGATGCTCAGGCAAACACCTTACAGTTGACCCCACCCAACACTGACGGACTCGCTCTCTTTCTGACCCGTTGTACTAAAATTCACTTCCCACCAACATTCTGAGGTCATCAGGGACTCAGAGGGAACACAGGCCATGTCTCTGGAGAGTTGGAAGAAAACCTTCTGGCCCGACACCTGCCCCATCTGTAAGCAACCCCCCAAAGTCAAAAAACTCAGTGGACACTCAAGACATTGGGTTACTGCTCAACCTAGGACCCCCGGCTTAGTTGGGGAGATTTAGTCCAAAAAAATCGAAGGACTTAAAAGAAACTGCTGTAAACAAAGTTTAAAGCAAGATCTCCGATATTCTGAAATTCAAAGAGACATATCTGTAAGTTATGAGAGATTCTTGTTCTATCAGTCGTGCCGATATCAGCAGACTAATGCGGGAAAGGAAGCCATCTCCCCCCTTTCTAAAAACCCATTACATTGTGCGGTTTTCTATGGGCTTAAATTAGAATATACAAATGTCTCGTTCTTAGAGCAATTGGCTGATTTTCCTAAATCCTTATAGGAAAACCCCAGTATCTACTCTGTCAGAGGTTTAAAACACATGAGCAGGACAACGTGACCTCAAAGGTGAGCCGGCAGCTCCGAGGGGCGCTACACACAACCGTGACAGGACGGCTCAGAGGAAGCTCACTCAAACCTCGCCGTAGTCTTGGAAGGAGCTCAGAGTCCTCAGTCTGGAAACTGCAGTTCTCAAACTCCAAATGCTCAGATAAACATGGGCAGACGCTTTCTGTCCCTGCTACAGGTGCCTTCTCCCTCTAACTCATCAGTGATCACTTGTAGGGAGCAAACCCTTGCCTGTTCTTCAATTACCAAACAAAACCTACCCCAAATCACACTTTCTGACTCGCCTGAACTCACAGCGGCCCTAAGCTCAGGCTAACAGGGAACCCCCTCAACTGATCGAACAGAGTGGCTGCAACTAACTGAAGGTAAATGCCGTCTTCTGACGTTCAGTCTCCTTTTTAAGGTTTCTCTGACACGATGTCCTCGCTATCCCCTGGCCTGGGGGTCTGAATGCAGGGGCGCTCCCAGGACACTGGAGGAGCCCGGAGCATGGAGCAAGCTGGCTCTGCTCAGAACGGCCCCAGCATCTCCCACAACTGGCTCTGCCTCCGCCGCCGGCCTGGAGACAGCAAAGCGCAGACAGCCCGCAGGGCCTCTACCGGCGCCTGGAACACAAGCTGGCCCTGCGCTGCCGTCCCACCGGACCCACGTCTGCGAGAGGGACAGGAGGGGCAGAAGGGGGCGCTGGGCGGCAGGGACCAGTCGCAGCCAACACGCAAACATTAATCACTGCTCTGTGAAAGAGGAGGGACCTGTCTCGCAGACCTCCCCCAGGGGTGGTTCAGCCGCCTCGTTCTCATGGAAACAGAAGGACAAACTCATGAACACAAATGGAGAATAAAACTGAGAGAGAGAAAAGCGGCCAACGTGCTACACGGACATTATTAACCGCCTCTGCAAAGTACGTGAGGTTTGGTAACTTACACGAGAACAGAAAAAAGAGGAAAAACAAACAAACCTGGCTAAAGGTCGGTTTATTGTGCAAGCGAGAGCATCTGTCTCCGTGACGACATGCTCCGATTTTGAAATAAAATGAACAGTTGACTCTGTAAGGGAAAAGAAGAGCTGATTATTCGGCTGGGCAGACTCAGACACGGGTAAACACACCAACACCCAGCACGTGCTGCCCAACTGTTCTCCCTTGGCGCCACGAACACCCAGCGCAGGGCATTCTGGGGCAGCAGTTCCGGGAAATGTCACTTGAACGTGCCTGACAAACACGCTACTTCCAACGAAGAGGTTCTAACTCCAGCCCAGGCCCCCTCATCCGTATCGACTCTCAGCGACTCGTTCTGCTCTATACTGTTCTTTCTCAAATGAAATATCCTGTTTAAAACGAAATTTAATTGAAAAACATATCCGTTCTCTAGCGCTCTACAATCAAATTCTCTCACGGGCACCAACACGGCACAGTGAGGGTTAAGATCCTGACTCCCCCACTAGCTACCTGGCCTTGGGCAAGTCACCCTACCTCTCCTGGTCCCAGGAGCCATCTGTGAAACGAGGAAAATGCCAAGCTGGCTTTGTTCCAAGAATCAGAGATGGCGTGTGCGCCTCACACAAACGACTCGCTAAATGCAATCATTATCTAACAAAGTCCATGCTCTCTCGTTCATGACGCCAGGCCAACAGGAAATTTCCAAACACAGGTCTGAAGCAAGCCAGTCTCCTGGTTTCAATACACTCAAGACAGGCTATTGGGGAACTCCTCAGCCTGTTCTTACGTAAGGCCACCTTCTGTCCATGTCGCAAAGCCCTCTCTTACTGCTGTTCAAACACTTGGATGATCCAGACGAAATCAAACCCAGCAATCCAGCCATCGCCTCAGCAGCGTCCGCTGGCTCAGACCTGTGATGAACTATGAACTCTTACTGGATGGGCCCCAGAGTTAGACTCGCAGAGGTGGGACGGTTACCCCGTAGATTCAATTTTTTAGCAAGTGCCCTATGTTCAGACAGTCGGTCCAGAGTTAGAATCAAAGGGCTTCAACAAAATTTGACGGTTCACAAGTATCAATTGGCCACTGATTTATTACTAGGTAGCAATAAACATGGGAAAGTCAGGATTATCAGGGAAGGAAAACGATTACCGTCCAGATTTGCAAACTCATCATATCAAGTCTCTCTTTACGTAACTTAAGTAGAATATACAACTTACATCTTTAGAAAGTCCGCTGAAAACGAAGAGCTTATTTTAAGAATCCCTCAGAATGGGCGACAGCCCCGCCTGAACAATACCCAACTACTCTCTGTTATTAAAACAATCTTTGTTCCTGTACTTCCAGAGATGGCTTTCATTTCATAATGCTTAATTAGAGCTTCAGGTATTAGTCAGAACTTTCCTAGTAATAAACTTCTAGTGACCCACTTACTAAACTACTGAAATGAAAGGAAGAGACAGAAAATAAAAAATCTGATCCACCATCACGGAGAAGATGTTAGAGAATGAACTTTTGCTTGGATTTAGAGAATGTCCGTAACTTCGCATGAAGGACTAGCTAAATCCTTTTAATTGGCACACACCTAAATTTTACTTCTGGCTTGGGGAAAAAAGAAAGAAGTTGGCCGGAATCATCAACTTCATTTTTTAGGAGCTGATACGGTCTCCTGCAATTTAAAACCCGTCAAGCCACCCTGAAATGAGACTATGAGTAACTTAGATTAAATAATCTTGTTTCCAAATTAAAGCCATGCCTCTCATGATAGAGCTCTACCAGGCTGAAACGTGGTTTCGTACAGCAGGAATATAAAAAAGGTTCTGGAATAAACCTCTACACTCCAAGTGCTGGCAGCACAGTGAAGGCACCTCCAGGAGCAGCTTTTTTACAATAATAGGGAAAAAACTTCAGGGAATAGAAGTCACGGCACTATTACCAGCTCAAGAATGAGATTAACGCTGCATCTTTGTAGCTGGGAGAAGGCTCTTTTCCCAGCAGAGCGGCCCATTCTTTAGGATGAGGTTTACAGGTTAAGTTCCCCGGTGCCTCCAGCAACCGCCTTCCCTAGCACTTAACAAGCTTCGGTATGTTTTACTTTGATCATCCTTTACGCGACAAGCACCCCCTCCCTTCTAGTTCCTTGAGATCACCTTCCGATTTTGTTCCTCTTTAAGTCAGCAGAGACAGACTTACGGTTGACAACAATGTTTCTGAAGTGACTAGGACTGACGATTGTGTCTTGTGGTTTTGCTACTAAAAAACATAAACCCTCTTCCCAACAACACAGGTTACAAGTTAGCCTGCATCCTGGAAAACAGAAACAATGTAAAGTGTCTGATGGGTGCACAGTCCCGGAGCTGCGCGCGCCCCACTCCTGATCTCAGGGTTGGCGAGTTCGAGCCCCACGCTGGATGCACAGATTACTTAAAAATAAAATCTTTAAGAAATAATAATTAAAAACCCCACCGTGTTGGAAAAAGTGGTACTGAAAACTTATCTGTGCCAAACCCCGGGACTCATCATTAGGAGCTCACATTAACGTAAGCCTTGAACGGCCCGGAAGAGCCCAACGTGGTAAATATGGACCCAAAAATAAATTACACCAGAGCTCAGTTTCTCGGTTTTCCAAGCAGGAATTATGCTTCTAAACAAGACATTCCCCGTGGCCTAAACTTCCGTCACGGAACTAAAACGTCCCAAAGCGACAATCAAATCAGAGCTGCATTTTCTGCTCATAATCTAACAGCCGGGCAGGGAGGACGTGCGGCCGCAGAGGGGAGCGGGGGACGGCCCAGGTGTTCCGCCGCGCTGGATCGCGTCTCCGAGCCCGTGAAACCGGGCTCCGTCTCGAACCGGCACCAAGTTCGTCGCACTTGTTCGCGTCCAAAGTCCTCACGGCCCGGCCCGGCGCGGGGCTTCCACCGCCGGGGGCTCGCCGAGAGGCCCCGCGCCCCGAGTCACCGGGCGACGAACACGGCGGGCCCGAGGCCGCGCCCGACCGACGCCCGCGGCGGTAGCAGGCGGGGGCCGCGCTGACAACTTCGGCCCAAACTCGAGACGGTTCGGAGCCGGGGGCGGGGGCTCTGGTCGCCGACACAGGGGGCGGCCCCCGGGCCGCGAAGCAGCCTCTAGCCGGAGAGGCCGCACCGCCCGAGCGGAAGCCCGCCCAGGCGCCCACGAGGCGGCGGCGCGCGGCTCCCGAGGCCGGAAGGGCCGCCGCGCCCCTCCCCCCGCCCGCCCGCCCGCCCGCCCGGGCCTCCCGCGGCCGCCCGACCCCGCCGCCGCGCCCGCGCGCGCCCCGCCCGCCTCCCCGGCCCGGAGCCCCGGCCGGCGGCTCTCACTCACTTGTCTTTCTCGGTGCCGAAAATGGAGGCCAAGTACTCCGCCATTTCCCACCCGCCGCCGCCGCCACTGCTGCCGACGCCGCCGACCCTGCCCGACGCCCGCGGGAGACGTCACCCGGACGCGACGACGCTCGCCCCGCCCCGACGGCGTGGCGGCGCTGGCCAATCGGACGAGGCGTTGCCTGCGCGCGGGCGGGGCTTGCCGCGCGCGGGAAGCACCGCCCCCTCGGCCGGGAGCCCGCGCACCGCCCCGCCGGCGCCCCCTGCCGGCGCCCGCGCTCGCCGCCGCCGCCGCCGCCCTCCGCGGCCCGGACCCCGCGCACCTCGCGCCTCCCGGGCCCCCGGAAGCCGAGCGCGCAGAGGCGGTCGCGGAGAAGCAGCCGGGGCCCGGGCCCGCCTGTCCGCGTGGGCGGTTCCGCCGAGCCCCTCCCCTCGCCGGAGACCCCGTCCCCCCGCCGCCCCGGCCTCCCGGACGCCGCGCGGGCTCGGGCTGGGGATTCCTCGGGTGCGCCCGGCGCCGGCTCCGGGCGGGGGCGGGGCGGCGGGGGGGCGGTGCCGGCTCGTGCGGGGCCACGGGGCCGTGGCGGAGGCAGCCGGGAGTGCGGGGAAGGCCGCCCGGGGCCCGACGTGCCGCGCTTCCCCGCTCCGGGGCCGCGGTGTGGGGGCCGCGGCGGCCGGCGGGCTCCGGGGAGGGACGCGGCCTGTGCCCCCGCCGGGCGGCCTCGGGGCCTCGGAGTCCCACGGACGCAGCAGCCCCGGGCGCGTCTGCGGCGAGGACCGCCCGAGGGAGTCGTCCCGGCCGCGGTGTTCGACGTCTGGGGCTGCGCTGGGCACGTGCGGCCCCGAGCGTGTCGACCTCGGGCGCGGGGGACGGACGCTTCACCGCAGGCGCGGCCGCGAGGAGCCCCGGGCCGGTTCGCAGCCCGTTCGCAGCCCGTTCGCGGGCCGACTGAGAGCCGCCGCGCCGGCCGCCCAGGACTCCCGCGGGGGCAGTGAGCCGTCCCTGCTGTCGAGAAGCACCGCGCTGCGGCCGACTTTGGCTCCAGACGCGGTGGTCATCCCGCAGCTTGTGTAGCGGCCAAGCCCTCTGGCCTGGGCAGGGCTGGAGCCGTGGGTCGGTTAGGTGGGCTTTGTGGGCACGGCAGCGAAGTATGGTCTTCGGGCGCATTCCGGGGTGGGTGGGATTCAGGTCATGCGGGCTCAGGGTGGATTTCCTGCTTCCCGGCTGGCCGTCTGTCCGGTTCTGGGCGTGCGGGAGCTCTCTGCCTCACAGAGCCCTCTGCGAGCAGTGCGTTCAGTCTCGTGCTTTGGTTTCTCTGCCTCTAGCCAGAGACGGCTTCGCATGTAAGGACTCCGGTTTCCCAGCTGGGCCTGGGTTCCTGGTTGAGCCAGGACACTCTCCCTGTGTTAAGGTCTTAATGACGTTGGCAGTTTCTTCACAGCCGTGCCTAGCTTAGTCCTTAGGGGAGGAGGCTCCTGGGAGTGACCTTAGAGTCCTGCCTGCATTTGATGGTGCTCAGACCAGACATGACAAGTGGCTAAAGGGCCAGTTAGGTCGATGAGAAGCGAGGAGCCTGAATTGGGGCTGGGGTGGCAGATGTGGTCAGAGTCCTGGGCTGCAAGCTGCCGTGGCTGAATGCTGGCTGCTGGGATGGGTGGTACCTTGTCTCTTGGAAACTCTACGTTGAAGCTTTGACGTGTGGATTTCCCTCAGAATGGGACTGTGCTTACTGATGGGGCCTTTACAGAGGTGATTAAGGTGAAATGAAGCCGGTGGGGTGGGCCCTGAGCAATCCGACTGGGGTCCTTATAAGAAGTTGGGACAGGGGCGCCTGGGTGGCTCAGTGGGTTAAAGCCTCTGCCTTCGGCTCAGGTCATGATCTCAGGGCCCTGGGATCGAGCCCCGCATCGGGCTCTGCTCAGCAGGGAGCCTGCTTCCCTCTCTCTCTCTGCCTGCCTCTCTGCCTACTTGTGATCTCTGTCAAATAAATAAATAAAAAATCTTAAAAAAAAAAAAAAAGTTGGGACACACAGGCACCCAGAGGGGCAACTGCATGAGAACACAGGCGAGGACTGTCTGTGATCCCAGGAGAGAGGCATCAGGGAACCAGCCCTGTCCCCACCTTGACCTTGGACCTCTAGGCTCCAGCACTGTGATAGAATAAATGTCTGTCGTTTAAGCCCCGTAGTCCTGTTGTCTAAAAGGGATTTTAAAAGGAAATTGGGTAATTCATCACATTACTGGGAGATGTGGAGAGTCACAGTCTGCGATCTCCCCACTGCGCTGGGCTGGGGAGGTGCCCACTGCCTTGCTTTGGCCGTGCTACGATCCCCCTTCTTCCATCCTCCCCTCGCCCCCCCATTAACACATGACACCGGAGCGCCACGTTGCAGCACGTGTCTGCTGCCCAAGCCGGGGCCTGACGTCTTGCCTCGGTGTGTCCCTGGCCAGGTGGTTCGTCATCCGCGGGCTCTTCGAGCAGTCAAAGGGAGAGTCGTGTCTACTGAGGCACAGAGTGGCTGAGGAGAAACAGATCTGGGGGCAGTTCTGGCCTCTGGGAGGTTGGGTTATTAGTTTTCAGCTTTTCCTGCTTTTCCTGCCTGCCCACGGTGCCCCCCGGGCGCTCCCCCCCGGGGCCCCCCCCCCGGGGGGGGGGGGGGGGGGGGCTGGTCCTGTACCTCGCTTTTGCCAGTAGCATGTGACCCGATGTAAGGAAGTCCCATCCAGAAGAGCTGGTCCCACGTGGCTGCTCCCCTGCCGGCTGGGGCCTCCGTGAAAAGCACACAGAGCAGGGCTAACCGACCTGCAGCCCCGTCAGTACCCTGGTGGCCCCGCAGGCAAGGGAGCTGGGACACACCTGTTTCTGTAAGCCACTGAGATTTTAGGGTGCGGACATGGTGTATGGTTACCCGTAGTACCACCGACTAGTCTAGCAGGAGGGGGATGGCCTAGGGGGCGTTCAGATAGAAATGACCGGCCACCTCTCGACTACATCAATAGACAGGTCTGTTAGAACGTTCTGTGATGAAGGAAATGCTCACTGTCAGTGCTGTCGCGTGATGGGACTGCCACTGGCCGCCTGTGGCCATGAGCACGCGGCAGGTAGCTGGCAGGATGAGGGTGCCGAATTTTACATTTTATTTAACTTTAATTAATTTAAATTTAAACTGAAGTAGCGATGTATGCTGACCGGCTGCTGTATTGGACAGCGCGGGCATGTCTACGTCTAAAGCCCAGGAGAGAGGGTGCCTGGGGGGGCTCAGTCGGTAAAGCATCTGACTCTCGGTTGCAGCTCAGTTCTTGATCCCAGGGTCGTGAGTTCAGGCCCTGCATCGGGCTCCATGCTGGGCGTGGAACCTACTTTAGAAAGAAAGAAAGAAAAAAAGAAAGTTCTGCAGAGAGGCCCAGGTGGAGTAGCGTATTTGGGATTTATTCTTATATATAGAATTAACATATAAATATACATGGAACCCTGGAACATATATACAGAATCCCAGTATATGTGCGTGCTCTGGGGGCAAATAGTTCATGATTCTGTCAGATTCCTAAAGGGGACTTTAGCCTCCAAAGTTAAGAGAAACTCTAGACCCTGGGGGATGTTGTCTGGAGGTTAAGAATCCCAAGAATTAAGAGTAGATCAAGGGCCAGGGCTCCAAGGGACAGCAGTGCCTGGGTGCGGTTAGCAGCAGGACCCTTCAGAGGAGCAGTGACATTCAGAAGAAGAGAGCTAGAGTTGGGACACCAGTAGACCAGATGGTCTCAGAGGCAGCTGTCACTGCAGAGGGCAACACGATGTACTCTAGAGGTGGTCTATACAGCAGGACCATGGGTGCTCTTGGCTGGAAGGGGGCTGCATGCTAATCGCTAGTGTTCGGATGAATTCACTTGTTCACTTGGCAACAGAACAAACATTCCGTACCTGGAGAAGAGCTGGATCAGCAAACCAGGAACCTCCCTTAGGAAGAACAGGGGCTCAGAGGTAAGGCCAGATAAGCGACAAGACAGATGCCCGTTCAGCAGGCAGATCTGATCCAGAGGGTGCAGCAGTGGGGCGTGGTCCAGGGAGGATGACTCCTGAAGAGGTGGAAACTGGAAAAGAGGTGTCACTGTAGAGCCCCCAGGAGAAATGGAGAAGGCAGGATAAAGTCTGCTTATGGGAACTGAATTGAAATACAAGGCTCCATCACAAGGAATTAATATGGTTACTGGAACCAGGGCCACCAACATCATTCCTCCATCTGTCCATCCATCCAACCATCCATCCATCCATCCACACACCCACCCATCTGTCCATCCATCCATCCATCCATCCATCCATCCATCCATCCATCCATCCAATCCATCCACACACCCACCCATCCATCCATCCATCCACCCATCCATCCATCCATCTATCACTCACTGATCCATCAAATCATCCACCCATTCATCCATCACTCATCCATCCATCCATGCATCCACTCACTCATCTGTCCATCCATTATCTAATATTTGGAGGGCATAGCTGGTACACCTATTACTGAGGCAGGACCACAAACACAACTGAGAAGGGAGATTGCTACTCAGGAGTCTGCCAAGCCCTTGAGCTCAATGTGTTTCCATCTGATCTCATGTTCTCCCAACTCCAGACTTTCGCCTGCTCTAGCCTTTAGTGGCTGTTAGTCATCCATACCGAAAGTCTGCATGGGTGGTCCTTGGTTTTCTGTCTTCCTTACCCTCCCATCCATTCTAATTCCTTGGTTTCTCTCAACTGTCTCTGCTCCTCTTGGGCAGGACTCAGTGCCCCTGTGTCACCACAACAGTACCAATACTAGTGTTTTCATCCACTCAGGCTGCCATAACTGAAGACCAAAAACGGGGTGACTGGATGACAGGCAGGTATGTCTTACACTTCTGGAAGCTGGATGTCCAAGATCTAGGCACCAGCAGATTTCACGTGTGGTTGTCAGGGGCGTGCTATGAAGGTGCTCACACCAGGAGTTTCTTTCCCAACACCGACTTTATTGGGTCCTTAAGGTTAACGTGCTGATGAGGCAGGGTCAGGATTCCAAACTCAGTGACATCTCCCCACGTGTTGACCTTGGCTTCTTATGGGTCACACAGAGCACAGCACGAG